GTTCACAAAGCAAGACAGCTGAGTGCCTTTGCACTGAGGCTTACTGGTGGAATGGGGTGCTTCTAGGCATTTATCAGCAGAACTAAAAGAGCTCTGTAACACTGCAACAGGGCAGAGGCCAGGCTGAGGGGCCATGGGCCAGAGAGAGATTTGCCTTTGGGCATAGTTGAGGGGATGCTGTCCTGATCAAAGAACTCTATCCTCAGTCTTTTATGATCCTGAATTGTAACCTGCTACTTCTCTGTTGTTGTTATATGCAGTCCAGTCAGACCCGACTCATAGCGACCCCTCCTTGGGTTTCTGAGGCAGTATCACTACTTAAGTAGATTGCCCAACCTTCCTTCCGAGGAGTGGCTGGTGGGTTTGAACCGCCAGCCTTCTGGTTAGCAGTCAAGTGCCTTAGGCACTATGCTACCAGAGCTCCTTTTGCTACTTTCCTAATAAATCCCAAATCATTAAGTATAGTCTGTGAGTTGTGTGTAGCTAATGCACTGGATTATTGAACCAGGAGAGAAGCAGAACGTGCTATGGGATAGCTGTTGTCAGAACTGGTAAAAAGGTCCGAGGGTAGAGGCATGTCTGACCTCCCCCTCATAGGAATCAGCCTCGGGCTGTTGTTGATGGTGATCTTGATCCTCCTCCTCGCTTGTGAACTTAGAGGAGGTCAGACTCCACCCCCATGCCATTTTGGCACCTAATCCCTGTATTTAACAGAGCCTTCCCTTACCGGCTCTCTTTCACTCTGCTTTATTTTCTTCACAGCATTTATTACCACTCTATCACTTGTATAATGTCTCTCCATTATAAAATCCACAGGATAGAAACTTATTCATTGCACATCCCTAGAACCTACAGCGGTGCCTGGTACTTACAGGTACTCAAACATCTGAAGGAATAAATGAAAAACTATCTACCTTCAAAGTACACACTTCCCATAATGCGGCACTACTGCATTAATACCTAAAGAGCTTACCAGATATTATTATTGAAAGCTCACTAGCGGCAGACAAGGCTGGCAGGAACAGGTAGGGGGTAGCCCAAGAAGTGAGTGGAGTGGTTGGAACAGCTAAGGGAGACGAACTTTTCTGTCAGTTTGTTGTACTGTGGTGGCTTGCGTGTTGCTGTGAGGCTGGATGTGCCCATGGTGGACTGGTTTCGGTGGAGCTTCCATATTGAGACAGACTTGGAAGAAGGAAGAGGCCATCTACATCTCAAAGAATTGTCCAGTGAAAACCTTATGTATAGTAGCGAAACACTGTCTATTACTGGAAAGTTTAATGAATAGCCCTGAAATATTGTCCAATACAGCTCTGGAAGATGAGCCCCTCAGGTTGGAAGGCACTCAAAATATGACTGGGAAAGAGCTACCTCATCAGAGTAGAGCCACCCATAATCATATAGATTAAGTAGAGCTTTCAGGGCCTCCATTTGCTGAAGTGGCATGACTCAATATGAGAAGAAACAGCTGCAAACATCCACTGATAATCAGAACATGGAATGTACGAAGTATGAATCTAGGAAAATTGGAAGTTGTTAAAAATAAAATGGAGTAAAGATTGACATCCCAGGCATTAGTGAGCTGAAATGGACCGATTTTGGCCGTTTTGAATCAGATAACCCTATGATTTACTATGCCTGGAATGACAAATTGAAGAGGAATGGTGCAGCATTCATCGTCACAAAGAATGTTTCAAGATCTTTCCTGAAGTATAATGCTGTCAGTGATAGAATAACAGCCATATGCATACAAGAAAGGCCAGTTAATACTACTATTATTAAAATTTATGCACCAATGACCAAAGCCAAAGATGAGGAAATTGAAGATTTATACCAACTTCTGCAGTCTGAAATTGACCAAACATGCAATCCAGATGTGCTGATTATCACTGGTGACTGGAATGCAAAAGTTGGTAACAAAGAAGATCACCGATAGTTGGAAAATTTGGGCTTGGAGATAGAAATAATGCTGGAGATTGCATGATAGAATTTTGCAAGACCAATGACTTATTCATTGCAAATATCTCTTTTCATCAACACAAATGGCAGCTATACATGTGGACTTTGCCAGATGGAGCACACAGGAATCAGATTGACTACATCTGTGGCAAGAGGTGAAGGAGAAGCTCCATATCTTCAGCCAAAACAAGGCTAGGAGCTGATTGTAGAACAGATCATCAACTGCTCATTTGCAAGTTGAAGTTGAAGACAATTAAAACAAGTCCACGAGAGCCAAAATAAGACCTTTATTATATCCTGAATTTAGGGACCATCTAAAGAACAGATTTGATGCAATGAATACCAATAACTGAAAACCAGAGGAATTGTGGGATGACATCAAGAACATCATCCACAAAGAAAGTAAATGGTCATTAAAACAGGAAAGGAAGAAAGACTAAATGGATGTCAGAAGAGATTCTGAAACTTGCCCTTGAACAGAGAGTAGCTAAAGCAAATGGAAGAAATGACAAGATAAAAGAGCTAAACAGAAGATTTCAAAGAACGGCTCAAGAAGACAAAGTCAATTATTATAATGAAATGTGCAAAAACATGGAGTTGGAAAGCCAAAAGGGAAGGACACGCTCGGCATTTCTCAAGCTGAAAGAACCGAAGAAGAAATTTAAGCCTTGAGTTGTAATATTGAAAGACCGTATGGGCAATATATTGAATGATGCCGGAAACATCAAAAGAAGATGGAAGGAATACAGAGTTAATGTACCAAAAAGAACTGGTCGATGTTCATCCATTTCAGGAGGTAGCATATGATCAAGAACCAGTGGTGTCGAGGGAGGAAGTTGAAGCTGCACTGAAGGAACTGGCGAGAAATAAGGCTCCAGGAATTGATTGAATACCCACTGAGATGTTTCAACAAACGGATGCCACGCTGGAGGCACTCACTTGGCTATGCCAAGAGATTTGGAAGATAGCTGCCTGGCCAACTGATTGGAAAAGATCTGTATTTGTACCCATTCCAAAGAAAGGTCATCCCACAGAATGTGGAAATTATCAAACAATATCATCAATATCGCACTCAAGTAAAATATTACTGAAGATCAAATTCAAAAACAGTTACAGCAGTATACTGACAAAGAACTTCCAGAAATGCAAGCTGGATTCAAAAGAGGATGTGGAATGAGGGATATCACTGATGATGTCAGATGGATCTTGGCTTAAAGCAAAGAATACCAGAAAGATGTTTACTTGTGTTTTATTGACTATGTAAAGGCACTGATTGTGTGGATCATAACAAATTATGGATAACTTTGAGAAGAATGGGAATTCCAGAACACTTAATTGTGCTCATGAGGAACTTGTACTTAGACCAGGAGGCTGTCGTTCGAACAGAACAAGGGGACACTGCATGGTTTAACATCAAGAAAGGAGCATGTCAGGGTTGTATCCTTTCACCATACTAACTCAATCTGTGTGCTGAACAAATCAGAGAAGATGGACTATATGAAGAGAACATGGCATCAGGATTGGAGAAAGGCTCATTAACAACCTGCATTATGCAGATGACACAACTTTGCTCGCTGAAAGTGTGGATGACTTGAAACACTTACTGATGAAGACTGAAGACTACAGTCTGCAGTATGGATTACACCTCAATATAAAGAAAACAAAAATCCTCACAACGGGACCAATAAGCAGCATCACAATAAATGGAGAAAAGACTGAAGTTGTCAAAGACTTAATATTACTTGGTTCTACAATCTACACCAGTGGAAGCAGCAGTCAAGATATCAGACGTCATATAGCACTGGGCAAATCTGCCACAAAGGACCTCTTTCAAGTGCTAAAGAGTAGAGATGTTTCCTTGAAGACTAAGGTGTGTATGATACAAACCATGGTATTTTCAATTGCCTCATATGCATGTGAGAGCTGGACGATGAGAAAGGAAGATCAAAGAAGAGTCGATGCTTTTGAGTTGTGGTGTTGGTGAAGAATGCTGAAAGTACCATGGTCTGCTAAAAGAACTAACAAATCTGTCTTGGAAGAAGTACAGCTGGAATGCTTCTTGGAAGTGAGAATGGCCAGACTTTGTCTCACCTACTTTGGTCATGTTGTAAGAAGGGATCATTCCCTGGAGAAGGATATCACAGTTGACAAAATGGAGGGACAATGAAAAAGGGGAAGGCCCTCAATGAGATGGATTGACATAGTGGCTGCAATGTGGGCTCAGTTATAGCAAAGATCGTGGGGCTGGCACAGGACCAGGCAATGTTTTGTTCTGCTGTACATGAGGTTGCTATGAGTCGGAGATGACTCAGCACCTAACAACAACAACAACACTAGGTGCAGGCACTCAGCTGTGAGTGTTCTAAGTGTGATCTCAGAGAAGATCTCTACCAAAGAGCCCACAAGATCTTTGAGTCATTATCTAATAGTCCCAAGCTGGAAAAGCATAGCAACGACCCACCATTCAAGGGATGCTATGAAAAGGGTCAGGGAAGACTGAAGGCATGTAGGAAAGTGGCAGAATCTCTCGTCTTCACCCCGTTATATTCAGGGGAAGAATGGGGCAGAAGCTGATTGAAGCACCAAGTACTCAGAGGAGTAAGGGTAACAAATGAAGTAACAGGTTGTCACTCCATTTCTGCACAGAGTCCCTGACACAAACAAACAGGTTCTCATGACCTCCTAAGGCTTTGCTTGACTAGTGTCACTGGAACTATCAGGCAGAGTGGTGCTGAGACAGCATATTTTAAGTCTTAACTGTTTTAACACAGAGGACGGGCTGGACCTCTGTGGTGGAATGGAAAGAGTTTGACTTGCAAGTCAGGAAGACCAGTTTTATCTTGAACCAGCTATGTGAATTTGGACACATAATATACATTCAGAATCTCAATGACATTAATTGCAAAATGGGCATAATACTTATTCTTCTGAGCTACAAAGAGGAATTAATGACGTGATTTCTAGCAAATGCCTATGAGTATTACTGAACAAAATAAATGAAAGATAAGAAAACTTTTGTGAAACTACTTCAATTAGACAAATACCTTTAGCTTCTTTAGCTCAAGTTGGTGAAGCTGTAAAGAACGTTCACATTCATTCCTACTTTCTTTAAGAGCTGTGTTTTCTTGCTCCAGCTCCCTCTGCAAATTCAGAAGAACACATACATATATAAATAAAAGGTCTCAAATACCATATTTCCCCTGGGACTGTCACAGTCCTATCTCTTTGACATTCTACTTTTGAAATGTCTTTTATTTTTTTGTCACTGCAGGGGTGAGAGATGAGAGTGGAGGGGGCAGTGAGAGAGAGAGAACCACTCAAAAAACTCCGCATCAGGAGAAACAGCCAAAGAATTCTCAACACTCTGGAATAGTGAGAGGGGACCACGGGAAGGGAGAAGCCATTAGGGAGGAAAAACAAATTTTAGACAGGAAGAAGCTGAGTGGTGGTCAGAAATCACCAGCAGTCCCTGCGGGGCCCAAGGGAAAAAAAAACAAGGACATCTGTTCAATCAGAAGCAGCCTTTTTTTTATATCCAGCCTCATGAGTAGGTGTGTTGTTGGAAACATAAAACTGCTCCATGAACTTGGCTTCCCAGTTCAGAAATGGAGCTGTTCTTCCTGTCAAACTACCTGGCAGCCCTCGGCCTACATGCACTGGGTGCTCCCGGGCTCAGCCTCATCCGTTCTCACTCACCATCTTGTGCTCCATGGCCGTCCTGTCGGCCTCCTGCTCTCTCTCCAGGGCAGCGATCTGGGCCTCCAGCACGTGGACACGTTCTGTGCACTGCTGCTGCACAGTGAGGGCCTGCTGCTGGGCACATCTGCCCTCCTCATTGACACGGGACTGTGAAGGTACCAGGGGACAATTACTCATGCTAACAATGGTTTTCAGAAGGGAGCCTTCTTCTGGTCCTAGGTGACCCCAAGATCAAAGCAACTCTCCTCCCTGGGAGGTGCTGATGTGCTCACCTGTAGGCTCTACCTGTTCCTCTGAACCCTGGCCTGCCCAGTCCACAGAGTCTGAGGTGCTTTGCCCCACCCTCAAGATGTCTAGGGGCAGTCCTGGGTACCAGCCTGCCCTAAGACAAACCCCTCTCTCACCCCATTCAGTTTTGCCCCCAATGGCTGAAGCACTGGGGAGGCAGTATAATGCAGCTGTTAAGAACAAGGGCTTGGACATAGAAAGATGCGAGTTCGGCCAGTTACTGACTTTGAAAACACAGGCTAGTGACCCAATTTTTCTGAGCCTACTTCTTCTGAAGAGTGAGGGTAATAATACATACCTCTTAAGTCAGCTGAAAAGATTAAATGAAAATGTGTACAAAGCACTTAACACAGTTCCTGGGACATGGCAAACATGTAATACATGTTACCTGGTTTTACTCCTCTAGTTTCTAACTTAACATCCTCACAGGGGGCTGTAATGACTGACCAAGCCCTTGAGCAGGCTTTGGTCCACAGAGCCTGGACCAACGCCCCCGGTTGCAAATAGAGGTTTGACTCCTCGTAAGCTACCACCTACGACTGCCCCCAAACTGGGCTGGTCCCGTAGGGCACACAGCAGGTGGGAGTTAGCCAGTCCCTCCACCTCTGAGTAACTCAGACCTTCCAGTCGGGCAGCATTTTTCTCTGCCTGCTGCTGTCTACCTGCTCCCACACAGCACAACAACTGATTCTAAGGTCAGGTCCAAATTCTATTTCTGAAGTTGAGAGTGAGTCTGAGAATCTACAAAGGCATAAAGGGACAGCACGAAGGGCCTGGAACACAGTAGCGCCCAGAAGCACTTACGAGCGCCTGAATCTGAGCCTCCTGCGAAGCCATGACTTCACTGCTCTGCTTCAACCTCTCCTCGGAAGCCTGCAGGGTCTGCTCTAGTTCTTTTACCTGAATGGAAAACAAAGCACTCTTCCTGTTCAAAAGCTGAAGGACAGACAAATGACTTAACAACAATCAAATCAGTGTCCATCATAAACATTCTATTACAGAACAAATTAAAATGAGAAGAGACTCCTAAGTCACCATTATGAAACACAGGCATCCTACTGTATTTCCTTCCAGTCCTTTATGATGATTTTTGTATAAGCTTGAATTCAGTTTAAATGAAATGACATATAATTTTGTATTTTTCTCACTCGAAACTTTTCTTCTGTGCAGCTATACAGTCTTTAGATCTTTTTTTTTTTGGGGGGGGGTAGGTTGGGGCCTACAGATTATTTCTTCAAAGGAGGGCTCATAATTCTGAACCACTTGTCTACTGTGCTGGAACTTCGGTGGTCTTCCATTTTTTCCCAACTAAAATAATGCAGTAGTTAATATTGTCACGAAAATCTTCAGACCTGGGTTGAGTTACTTCCTCAGGGCAGAATCCTAGAACTGGGACTACTAGGTCAAGCAGAATATCCATCATTATGGCTCACAATACAACTTAGGTTTTACTAATTGCACACATAGTGACCAAGTCAACGTACCCAACACTGCAGGAGGACATGGGGCTAGAGCAGTAAAGACAGACATCGCTCTGTCCTCAAGAAGTCACTGTTCAGTACTAACGAGACTTGGTTCTCCAAGTCCATTTATCTAACTCAAGGTATCTTTGATAATTTCTCTTATGAAGAAAGGCCTCTTACTTGTGGAATAAGATTTGACCTTAGGGATTTTTATTACTAAATATGAACACAGGGAAAGTTGTAGCTCAGTGAAAGAGAGGGAGGTACCCAATGAGAAAAGGATATTTTAAGTTTCATGATTCCTCACATACATTTACACGTACAACTTAACAAAAACAATCCGTGAGAAGGGTATTACTATCTCCACAAAGGAGAGGAGTAAATGTCACTTGCTCATCATCACAAATTTTATCAGTGGTAGAATCAGGACTAAAACTGAGGCTTTTTAAACTGAGTTTAGAAAAATATCTGCCAAATTCCCAATTCAAAGGTGGAGCTCAAGAAAGATGCAGATTCTCTCTGCAAAATACTGCATAATGTGGATGAACTTGGAGGCCATTATGCTGAGTGACATAAATCAATCACAGGAAGATAAATATCGTATTAGTTCACTATTGTGCAAAGTCGAGGAAAGGTTTATATACAGAAGGAAACTTTCTTTGTTGGTTACCAGGGATGAGAGGGGAGGGGAAGGAACACTGCTAGCTAGGTAGAGACAAGTATTGGTTTGGATGAAGGGAAAGGCAATATTCCAAAAGTGATGGACCAACAATAACACTCAGGAAAAGAAAGATCCAGAAAGGTGCACAAGAGGTATAGACAACAAAGATAAACACTTTTATATACACAATACTGTGTCATCAGTGATAGCAAACATTCATCTATGGGTAAACAGATGGGTAGACAGGCTGAGTGATCAGGTACGTCTAGGCAAAAGGGAATACACCCATGACCATACATAAGGTTGGCAGACGATGTTTCTACCTACATGTTTATATTTGCTGTAAGAATGTCCATATAACTAGAACTAACAGGAGGCAAAGTTATTATAACTTCTTAGGCACAGTCAAACACCCTGATGGAGTGAGCTGTTGGACCCATGGACTTGGGACCATGGTGGCAAAGGACATCCAGCTCAATTGGCATAACATATTACACAAAAACATTGTTCAACATTCTACTTCGGTCAGTAGCAACTAGAGTCTTAAAAGCTTACAAGGAACCATTTAGATGCAACAAGGGATTTTTCCTTGTCCAGACCAAAGAAGAATGAAAAAAACCAAAGATGCATGGAAGCAATTAAGCCAAAAGACCAATGGGCCATGCAAACCTCAGCCTTTATGACCATAAGACCAGAAAAACTAGATGGTGCCCAGCTACCGCTGTCAACCACTGAGAAAGGGATCAGTGCAGGATCCCGGATAGAGCACAATAACAATGTGGGACAAAACTCAGAATCATAGAAGAGACCATGTTTACTGGTCTGAAAGAGCCTGGTGAGACTCATGAGACTATGGGCGCTTGTTAGCTGTCAGGGCTGGACTTGAACTCTCTCCCAGCTCCCAGACAAACAACAGACAGGCATATAGGGTGAACATTTATTTACATCAGGTAGATACAGTCCTTAGGGGCAAATAGAAGGATAGTATTTGCACAGGGAGATAGCTTAGGGGGCAGGAATGCATAGGAAAGGACACAGAGAAGAGGTACCTACAGGGAGGAAGTGGAAGAGAGCTGTTACATTGTGGGCATTGCAGTCAATGTCATGAAACAAAATGTATATGAACTGCTGTATGCAAAACGAATTTACTCTGTAAACTTTCATCCAAATCACAATAAAAATTTTTAAAAAAAGAAAGAAAGATAGATGCACATTCTCAAAAGGCTAAACAGAGTTATCATATGACTCTGGAATTCTACTGTTGTTGTTGTTAAGTGCCGTTGAGTCGTTTCCGACTCATAGAGACCCCATGCACAGCAGAACGAAACACTGCCCGATCCCGCGCCAGCCCCACAATCCCTGCTATACTTGAGCCCATCATCGCAGCCACCGTGTCAATCCA